TATTATTTTATTATGATAATGAAGATGATGATTTTCTTATTACAGAGCGTTCTCCATCACTGCTAACACAGGATTCAGCCATCTGTGATCTCACAGCAGATCCTGGAGGATTTATAGATGTTCATGTCAAGTGCACCACACCATTGACAACGCCCTTCTGTCCAACACACCAACCAGCATAAAGACACAACAGTACACAAGTAAAGATAGTGAGAGAAATAATGACAGGCAGAGTTAGTGGCTTTCTTTGTTTTTTTTTTTTTTTTTTTGTCAACAGTCGGGCCGTGCCTCCCACCGAGGCTAGGGTGACCCAAAAGAAAGGAAAATCCCCAAAAAGAAAATGCTTTCATCATCATTCAAACTTTCCCCTCACTACAATAATCAGGTTTTTGCAGAGTGCTCAGAAACAACGTTTTAGAAGTTACGTAAAAAGATACACAACATACCCCTCCAAATGCTAATATCCCAAAAAACCCCCTCCTTTAGATTTTTGGCATTGTACTTCCCATTTCGGGACTAAGTACGGTATTAAAATAACCGGTTTTCCCCCTGAATCCCTTCCTAAATATTACCTTGCTTACCCCCCAACGATGTGGGGGCCCAAAATACATTTGTTCCATTCATGTATTGAACACGCTCAGCACGCCTGCGGGAAGCCCACCCCCCTCGCCCCAAAAAACCTCCCTTCCCCCCTTCCCTTCCGAGGATGACCCATACCCCGCCTTTCCTTTTCCCCACAGATTTAAAAGTTCCTGTCATTTTACTTGTCCATTCCTCTTAAGGGCCCAAACACCTCAACAACCTTTTCACCCCTGATAATACTTTTTTTAAAACCCCACCCCCTTCTCCAAATTTTACACTTCGTTTTTTCGCAATTTCCCAACATTGCCCTTAAAGGAATCTCCACTCCCCTAACCCCGCTCCTCGCTGCTGCTTTCCCCCAACCCCAAAGCTTCAACCCCCTTTAAAAGAGTGTTGGTACTATTCTTTCATCACCCCCCTTTTTTGCCTCCATGATAATGTTTTTTGACCCCACAATATCTCAAGAAACCACCCCTTTTTTTTCCCCATCAATTTTTTGATTAAACCCTCATCCTTCATAAACCATCCCCCGACACGTCAATCCGTTTCGAAAACATTCACTTCTTCCATACTCCTCGCCCCCCAATTTGATACCCAAATTTTTTTTTTTTCTAAATTTTTTAAACCCCTATCCCCTTACTCTTTTTATGTTCACTTTCAATTTTCTCCCCTTTACACACACTCCCAAACTCATCCACTAACCTTTACAATTTTTCTTTAGAATCTCCCAAAAAGACATATCATCAGCAAAAAAAAATGTGTAAAAAAATTCCCCTTTTTGTTTTTGATTCCCCAAATTTTAATCCTACCCCTCCCCCAAAACCCTGCATTTACTTCTTTTCAAAACCCCTCTTAAATATATTAAAAAACCTGGTGGCATTACACATCCTGTCTAAACCCACTTTTACCGGGAAGTATCTCCCTCTTCTACCCACCCTAACCTGAGCCTCCTATCCTCTAAAAAATTTACAGCATTTAGTAAAATTCACCTATTCCTATACTTCAACTCCCACATTGCTCCCCCCTCCACTCATTATCTATGCCCTTTTCTAAAACAATAAAAGAAAAAAAAAAATTCCCCACCTTTATCTAAAATTGTTCATATAGTTTTAATGTAAACACTTTATCTACACATCCCCTACCCCTTTGAAAACCCCCTTGTCATCCGCAGTCCTCATTCTGTTACCCTAATTATTTCAATTAAAAAACCTACCATACACTTTTCCCGGTTACCGTAAAATTATTCCTCTAATTTTTACAACTTTTTTCCCCCCCTTTTTATAAAGGGGCAAATGCTCTCCGCCCAAACCTAGGAAAACCCTTTCCCCCCTTTATACATTTATTAACCCCTTTTAGGGGTTTTGGGCGTAATAGTACGGCTTAGCCCCGGGGTTTTTTACGTACTAGTTGCTTTAAAATTTTAGCGCCCTCAAATTAGTGGGAGAAAACTGGTAGGCCCTCCATAGAAAGAATGGGTCTATGTGGTCAGTGTGAAAAGATTAAAAAAATCCTGAGCACACAGTGCTAAGAGAAAAAAAAAACTTTTTTTTTTTTGGGAAAAAAACGCAATTTGCTGTATTTGTTGGTATTTATTGTTGTATTCTAGTTTTTTGGTCTCATTTTATAGAATGGAAGGCATATATAAAACTGAGTGATTTGTGGTTTTACATGAAAAGTACCTTTAAATTTAGCTCAAAATAGCAGAAAAGTTCGATTTTTTCCAAAGTTCAAAGAAAAAAATCTGCCCCAAAGGGCCCAAAACACGTAATGGTGAGTTAATATTCTTTTGCAAGTGCGCCAAAAGATTAACCTTTTTAAATTGAGTAGCTGCAAAACTAAATCTTCTATTTTTTTTTTGAGAATAAAAATTCAAAGTGGAAAGCAAAAGTATTAAGAGGGGCCCTTTAGACGGACAATGAACAGAGGAAATGTCATTTTAGTGCCAGGAATGTATTTCTTGTTTTTTCTGGACCCTATTCGGAAATTGGCATCTTTTGAAATTTGTTGAAATTGGAAAAATTTAAATTTTGCCCACTGTATGGATATTTTGAAATTGGAAAAATGGGGGGTTTTCTTGCATATTAAATAGAAAAAAGGGAGTTCTGCAAAATATTATGTTTTTTGCGACTAGTACAGGGGAAACGGGCCGAAAATGGGGATCAAAGGGGGCAAAATCGCCGTCCGTAAACCGCTGAGACCGCTAACTTCGCGAGAGCATAATTCCCGAATTTTTCCCATCAAATTTCTTTTTTTGGTGCATTATGATCGGGAAAAGATTCTCTATCTTTTCATAAGAGAAATTATTTTTTTTTTTTAAATTTGGCCGACCCTGAAAACGAATCTCGGAGAGGGCCTGTCGACCCTCAAAGGGTTAAACAAAGTACCAACCACTCCAACACTATATCCCCCCTGATTTAACATTTCTGTCATGATCCCATCAGTTCCAGATGTTTTTACCCCTTTCATTCTACGTAATGCCTCACGTACCTCCCCCACACTTACATTCTGCTCTTCTTCACTCCTAAAAGATGGTATGCCTCCCTGACCAGTGCATGAAATTACCCCCTTTCCCTTTCTTCCTCAACATTTTAAAAGTTCCTCAAAATATTCTCGCCATCTACCTAATACCTCCCTCTCCCCATCTACTAACTCCCCTACTCTGTTTTTAACTGACAAATCCATACGTTCCCTAGGCTTTCTTAACTTGTTTAACTCACTCCAAAATTTTTTCTTATTTCATTAAAATTTCTTGACAGTGCCTCTCCCACTCTATCATCTGCTCTCCTTTTGCACTCTCTCACCACTCTCTTCACCTTTCTTTTACTCTCCATATACTCTCTGCTCTTCTTATAACACTTCTGCTTTGTAAAAACCTCTCATAAGTACCTTTTTCTCTTTTATCACACCCTTTAATTCATCATTCCACCAATCATCTTCTTCTCCCCTGCACCCACCCTCCTATAACCACAAACTTCTGCCCCACATTCTAATACTGCATTTTTAAAACTCGTCCAACCCTCTTCAACCCCCCCACTACTCATCTTTGCACTAGCCCACCTTTCTGCCAATAGTCGCTTATATCTCACCCGAACTTCCTCCTCCCTTAGTTTTTACACTTTCACTTCCCTCCTACTTGTTGTTGCCACCTTCCTCTTGTCCTATCTACCTCTTACTCTAACTGTAGCTACAACTAAATAATGATCCGATATATCAGTTGCTCCTCTATAAACATGTACATCCTGGAGCCTACCCATTAACCTTTTATCCACCAATACATAATCTAACAAACTACTTTCATTACGTGCTACATCATACCTTGTATATTTATTTATTTTCTTTTTCTTTTTCATGAATATGTATTACTTATTACCAAATCTCTTTCTACACATAGCTCAATTAAAGGCTCCCCATTTACATTTACCCCTGGCACTCACAATTTACCTACTACTCCCTCCACAACATTTTTACCCACTTTAGCATTGAAATCCCCATCCACAAGTACTCTCACACTTGGTTCAAAACTCCCCATGCATTCACCCAACATTTCCCAAAATCTCTCTCTCTCCTCTACACCTCTCTCCTCTACACTTCTCTCTTCTCCAGGTGCACATACGCTTACTATAACCCACTTTTCACATCCAACCTTTATTTTACTCCACCTAATCCTTGAATTAATACATTTATAGTCCCTCTTTTCCTACCATATCTTATCCTTCAACATTATTGCTACTCCTTCTTTAGCTCTAACTCTATTTGAAACCCCTGATCTAATCCCATTTATTCCTCTCCACTGAAACTCTCCCACCCCTTCAGCTTTGTTTCACTTAAAGCCAGGACATCCAGCTTCTTCTCATTCATAACATCCACAGTCATCTCTTTCTTATCATTTGCACAACATCCACGCACATTCAGACTTCCCACTTTGACAATTTTCTTCTTATTCTTTTTAGTAATCTTTACAGGAAAAGGGGCTACTAGCCCATTGTTCCCGACATTTTAGTTGACTTTTACAACACGCATGGCTTACGGAGGAAAGATTCTTATTCCACTTCCCCATGGATATAAAAGGAAAAGTAATAAGACCAAGAACTATTAAGATAAAAATCAAAGAAAATTCAGATGAATGTGTATAAATAAACGTGTACATGTATATGTAGTGTGACCTAAGTGTAAGTAGAAGTAGCAAGACATACCTGTAATCTTGCATATTTATGAGTCAGACAAAAAACACCAGCAATCCTACCATCATGTAAAACAATTACAGGCTTTCATTTTACACTCACTTGGCAGGAGGGTAGTACCTCCCTGGGCGGTTGCTGTCTACCAACCTACTACCTACTTAACAATATTCTATAACATGTAAATCACATATTGTGATTAATAGTGTGGAACCCTGTTACAGCTTCAAGGGCCCTGGGGTACTGGTGTGCAGCATAGACAATATGCCCACACAGCTGCCCAGGGAAGCCACGGATTTATTCGGGTCTCTGCTGCTGCCTCACAAGTATGACATCTTGCAGTCTGATGCTTCCAAGCCCTTTGAGGAGCAGTCGTTCACCCACGAATTGCATGGGGTCAGTCTTTTGATGTTCACTTATTAAATTCATGTAAGTCTGACTGACCTTGGCTACAAGACTGACTGTAAGTCTGACTGACCTTGGCTACAAGATTGACTGTAAGTCTTGAGTGACCTTTACCTGGAGTTTACTTGGAGAGGGCTTTGGGGGTAAATGCCCCCAAGGCTCGGTCTGAGACCAGGCCTCATAATGGATCAAGAACTGATCAACCAGGCTGTTACTGCTGGCTGCATGCAAACTGACATACGGCCCACAGCCCGGTTGGGCAGGTACTGATTTTAGGGACCTGTCCAGTGCCTTCTTGAAGACAGCCAGGGGTCTATTGGTAATCCCCCTTATGTATGCTGGGAGGCAGTTGAACAGTCTTGGGCCCCAGAAACTTACTGTGTTGTTTCTCAATGTACTCGTGGCGCCCCTGCTTTTCGTTGGGGGAATGTTGCATCACCTGCCCAGTCTTTTGCTCTCATAGGAAGTGATTTTCGTGTGCAGGTTTGCTACTAATCCCTCCAGGACCTTCCAAGTGTATATTATCATGTATCTCTCTTGCTGGAGTTACAGGAAATACAGATCAAGGACCTTCAACCATTCCTAGTAATTTAGGTGCCTTATTGTACTTATGTTTGCCATGAAAGGTCTTTGTACACTCTCCAGGTCAGCAGTGTCACCAGCCTTGAAGGGAGCCATTAGTGTACAGCAGCATTCCATCCTAGAGAGAACAAGTGATTTGAAGAGAATCATCCTGAGCTTGGTGTCCCTAGTTTTGAAGATTCTCATTATCCATCATATTTTTCTAGCAGATGAGGTAGATACATTGTTGTGGTCTTTGAAGGTGAGATCCTCTGACATTATCACTCCCAGGTCCTTCACATTAGTTTTTCTCTCTATTATATGATTAGAATTTGTCATATACCCTGTTACAGTTTTAATTTCCTCAAGTTTTCCATATCTGAGAAGTTGAATTTCTCTTTGTTGAACTTCATATAGTTTTGAGTGGCCCATTTGAAGATTTGGTTGATGCCTGCTTGGAGTTTTGCGGTGTCTTCGATGAAGGTTACTGCCATGGTAATCCGGGTGTCATCCACAAAGGAAGACACGGAGCTATGGTTTACATCTCTGTCTATGTCAGAAATGAGGATGAGGAATAGAATCAAATCAAATCAAGTTTATTCTCTGTAAGAATTACAATGCTGAGTTTACAGAATTTGGTATGTGTGGTTTACATGTAGTAAAATACTAATTACAGAGGGTGCCACTAGAACACCTAGCATGGCTAGGCATTTCGGGCAGATTTAGATTAATTCTTAACTTTAAAATATTACAAATTATGAGGTAAGTTGGTATTATGGCTAAGTGGCTAAATACTAGTTTGTGAGTTTAGCAATGTGAATGCTTTTGTTTTTGCACAATACAATACATAGTATTGGAGTATCACAGGCCAACTTATGACTAGTTAGGATTCATTATTTTAAGATTAAGATTGATATTTCTGTGTTTATGGTCAAATGGGGAGTGAGTGTAAGTGTGAACCACCAGGTGGTATTCATGTAATTAGTTGGCAGGGTGTATCAGGGAGATAAGATGTTTTCTAATGGTAGTTTTGAAGGTGATGAATGTGTCTGCAGTTCTAGAGTTTTCAGGTAGGGTGTTCCAGATTTTAGGGCCTTTGATATACATTGAATTTTTGTAAAGGTTTAGTCGGACACGGGGAATGTCATAGAGATGTTTGTGTCTGGTGTTATGCCTGTGGGTTCTGTCACAACTATCAAGAAAGCATTTTAGGTCAAGGTTAATATTGGAATTTAAGGTCCTGTAGATGTAGATTGCATAGTAGTAAGTGTGGATGTACTGAACAGGGAGTAAGTTTAGATCTGTGAAGAGTGGGGGAGTGTGTTGCCAGGGATGGGATTTAGTGATTATTCTTACTGCGGTGAGTACTGTACCTTGTGGAACAGAGCTTTTCACCATAGCTGCCTTTGACTTTACTCTGTTTACTATTACTCTCTCTGCTCTATTTGTCAGGAAGTTGTAGATCCATCTACCAACTTTTCCTCTTATTCCTTTATCATGCATTTTGTGTGCTATTACGCCAGGGTCACACTTGTCGAAAGCTTTTGCAAAGTCTGTGTATTCTACATCTGCATTTTGTTTATCCTCTACAGCATCCAGGACCTTGTCATAGTGGTTCAGTAGCTGGGACAGGCAGGAGCGACCTGCTCTAAACCCATATTGGCCTGGGTTGTGTAATTAATGAGTATCTAGGTGGTTGGTGATCTTCCTTCTAGGAACCCTCTCAAAGATTTTTATGATTTGGGATGTTAATGCTGTCGGTCTGTAGTTCCTTGCAATTGCTTTACTGCCACCTTTGTAGAGTGGAGCTATGTCTGTTGTTTTTAGTGTGTGTATGTGGAATAACTCCTGTGTCCATGCTCCCTCCATAGAATTGCTGAAGGTATGTGACAGGGGCTTCTTGCAATTCTTGATGAACACGGAGTTCCATGGGCACGTCATTTATTGCCTCTTCAAAGTCTTGTGGAGTTAGGATAATATCCGAAATTGTTGAGATGATCAGATTTTGGGTTTCATTCATAAAGAATTCATTTGGAATGTCGACCTTTAGTTTGGGCAGCAGCTCGTTGAACACTGAGTCGTATTGGGACTTTAATATCTCGCTCGACTTGAAATACATAAGTGGGTAAAACTGTTCTAGAGGGAGTAGTAGGTAAGTTTGGGGTGTCAGGGAAAATGAAAATGGGGGGGGGAGCCTTTAATTGAATTATGTATAAAAAGAGGTTTGGTATTAAGTAATACATATTTTATGAAAAAGAGCATAAATAAGTATACAAAATATGATATTGCTCATAATGTTAGATTATGTATTGATAGATAAAAGGATGATGGGTAGACTTCAGGATGTGCATATGTATGGAGGGGCAACAGATATATCGGATCACTATTTAGTTGTAGCTACAGTTAGAGTAAGAGGTAGATGGAGCAAAAGGAAAATGGCAACAGCAAGTAAGAGAGAAGTGAAAGTTTATAAACTAAGGGAAGAGGAAGCTCGTGTGAGATCAAATCAATTATTGTGAGAAAGGTGGGCTAATGAGAATATAGGTAGCGTGGGGGTTGAAGAGGGGTGGGATAGTTTTAAAAAGGCAGTGTTAGAATGCAGAGCAGATTTTTGTGGCTATAGGAGGGTGGATGCAGAAGGAAAGAAGAATGATTGGTATTGGGAAAATGCCAGGAATATTTTGAGGAACTTTTAAATGTTGATGAAAGGAGGGAAGCAGTAATTTTGTGCATTGGCCAGGAGTAAATGTATGAAAGAAGGGAAGGTACCTAGGGATTGGCAGTGTGTGTGTATAATTCCTTTATATAAGGGAAAGGGGGACAAAAGAGAGTGTAAAAATTATAGGGGAATAAGTTTACTGAGTATGCCAAGTAAAGTGTATGGTAGGGTTATTACTGAAAGAATTAAATGTAAGACAGAGAGCAGGATTGCAGATGAACAAGGAGGCTTTAGAATGTGTAGGGGATGTGTAGATAAAGTGTTTACATTGAAGCGCATAAGTGAACAATATTTAGATGACGGTAAGGATGTTTTAATTGCATTTATGGATTTAGAAAAAGCATATAATAGGGTGAATAGGGGAGCAATGTGGCAGATGTTGCAAGTGTATGGAATAGGTAGTAAGTTACTAAATGCTGTAAGAGTTTTTACCTGGAGTTTACCTGGAGAGAGTTCCGGGGGTCAACGCCCCCGCGGCCCGGTCTGTGGCCAGGCCTCATGGTGGATCAGAGCCTGATCAGCCAGGCTGTTACTGCTGGCTGCACACAATCCAAGGTACGAGCCACAGCCCGGCTGGTCAGGTACCGACTTTAGGTGCCTGTCCAGTGCCTGCTTGAAGACAGCCAGGGGTCTATTGGTAGTCCCCCTTATGTATGCTGGGAGGCAGTTGAACAGTCTCGGGCCCCTGACACTTATTGTATTATCTCTTAACGTGCTAGTGACACCCCTGCTTTTCATTGGGGGGATGTTGCATCGTCTGCCAAGTCTTTTGCTTTCGTTGTGAGTGATTTTCGTGTGCAAGTTCGGTATTAGTACCTCTAGGATTTTCCAGGTGTATATAATCATGCATCTCTCCCGCCTGCATTCCAGGGAGTACAGGTTCAGGAACGTCAAGCACTCCCAGTAATTCAGGTTTTTAATCTCCGTTATGCGCGCCGTGAAGGTTCTCTGTACATTTTCTAGGTCAGCAATTTCACCTGCCTTGTAATGGGCTGTTAGTGTGCAGCAATATTCCAGCCTAGATAGAACAAGCGACCTGAAGAGTGTCATCATGGGGATAGTGAGGCTCAGATTTGGGTGTGTAGGAGAGAGGGAGATTACTTTCCAGTAAAAGTTGGTTTTAGACAGGGATGTGTAATGTCACTATGGTTAACACATTTATAGATGGAGTTGTAAAAGAAGTAAATGCTAGGGTGTTTGGGGAGAGGGACGGGATTAAATTATGCAGAATCAAATACGAAATGGGAGTTGACAGTTACTTTTTGCTGGTGATACTGTGCTTTTCGGAGATTCTAAAGAGAAGTTGCAAAGGTTAGTGAACGAGTTTGGGAGTGTGTGTAAGGAAAGTTGCAAGTGAACATAGATAAGAGTAAGGTGACGAGGGTATCAAACGTGTTAGGTAAAGAAAAATTGGATATCACATTGGAGGGAGGGAGTATGGAAGAAGTGAACGTATTCAGATATTTGGGAGTAGATTTGTCAGTAGATGGGTTTGAAGGATGAGGTTAACCATAGAACTGATTAAGGAAAAAAGGTGAGTGGTGCATTGAGGTATCTGTGGAGACAATAAACGTTATCCAGGGAGGCAAAGAGGGGAATGTACGAGAGTATAGTGGTACCAACACTTGTATGGGTGTAAGGAATGGGTTGTGAATGCTGCAGCGAGGAGGAGGCTGGAGGCAGTGGACATGTCGTATCTAAGGGCAATGTGTGGTGTAAATATTGTGCAGAGAATTCGTAGTATGGAAATTATGAGATGGTGTAGAGTTACTAAGAGTATTATTCAGAAGGCTGAATAGGGGTTACTGAGGTAGTTTGGTCATTTAGAGAGGTTGAAACAAAATAGGTTGACTTGGAGGGTGTATGAATCTGTAGTGGAGGGGTAAGGGTCGTCCTAGGAAAGGATGGAGGGAGGAGGTAAAAGAGATTTTGTGTGCAAGGGCCCTGGACATGCAGCAGGCATGTGTGAGCTTGTTAGAAAGTTACCTGGAGTGGTGAATGGTAACGAATGGTTTTGGGATCTGACGAGCTGTTGGAGTGTGAGCAGGGATCCAGGGAAACTGGTTAGCTGGACTTGAGCTTTGGAGGTGGGAAGTACAATGCCTGCACTTTAAAGGAGTGGTTTGGGATATTTGCTGTTTGGAGTAACACCTAAACTGTTATATTTGGGCACCTCTGCAAAGACAGTGATTATGTGTTGAATGATGAAAGTATTTTTCTTTTTTGGGTCACCCTACATCGGTGGGAGACGGCCGACGTATTAAAAAATAGTGCCATATATTTATCTCAAATCTTTTGTTGTTTTATACTCTTTACATTGTTTTCAACATATTGAATTTACAGAAGCCCATAGTAAATATACATGTTTAAAAATAAAATAAATCAGTTTTTAATAATCATCGAATTTAAATTGACATCGTAACAATGCTCCCTTGAAGACGTTTTTCCTGGTCATCTTTACCTCATATTGGCCCTTGTTTGTTTAGCCCTTAATTTTGATTGTAATAATTTACCTCATATTAATTTTGTTGTACCTTATTTCTCTAATTTCCGTAATTTCTTGACCCTTGTATTATGTTATCTCACCGGTTTCTTAGTTTCTTGATCATTACTACTCATCCATCCACTTCATGCTACTTGGTCAGTTACCATATAGCTAACGATGACATTTTTATGTAGGTCCACAGGCTGGACAGCTAGAGCTCGACTTCTCGCGTATCCTAGCTGGTGGCATCCTCCATAGCCCAACCATCTCCATTCGTGGTGTATACTCAGACCCAAAATGCCCTAAGAAAGTTCCCTATCGGACCTGTGGTGGTCTTGAGGAGGATGACATCCTGGATGACAAGTGTGAGTCATTTGTAAATAAAAAGTATTGAAATATTTTAGGAATGTAATGATCTGTGATGTGTGTATTTAGAGTCTAATAAAAACACTGAGCATTCATGTGTCATGTGAGGAACAAAGGTCATAATTAAATGATGTTCAGTTGCTTAGAGCAAAAACCTTGCTCAGAGTAATTTTATTTTTGGATTATACCACGTGCAACACTTAAGACACTTGTTAAGGAAACGTTTTACCCAATAGGGACTCTAGTCAATCCTTAATAAATGTTCTAAGCATTGCAAATGTGTCTTTAGTTCACAGTTTGTTGGTACTGATATACCAAATACTAGTATTGGAGTACTTTGTGAATCTAGCACACTTATTACACTAACTTAGTAACAAAGTTAATATATTACCTAGAATGAATATAAACGTCAAATAATTTTAATGAATATAAACATATTTACTTTGTGCTAAGTATTGAGCTATAGTGAAATCGTTTAATTTATTTTGCTCGGTTTGAAATTCAGATTTCTCAGAAGAAAAGATTAAAAAGAAAAACTTTTCTTGACAAATTTCCACCACAAAAATATGAACTCGTCACATTTGCACCAAACATTCGTATACACTACCCAATATTGATGCAATTTATTCAAGAAACATTTTAGAAAAAGATTAAATAATAGTGTACAGTAATTATTTGTTTACATTGAATCTGTAGTGTGGGTAACCCTGCCTTGGTGGTGGGAGACGGCCACCATGTTGAAAAAAAATCATTTGGATTAAGTTTGTTTTATTTACTTTCCAGCAACCTCCTGGTGGAACAAATTGAGAGGAAAAGTCTCAGATGGTGGTTCATTCTCTGATGATGCCGCTGCTGGTGCTGCTGTCTGCTGCCTTTTCCATACTTCTCTCCTTCTGGCTCCAGTGTTAAGCTTCCTTGCATCTGCCTTCCACTAAGGTACTTCTCCTCAACTTCAGCTTGCTTTTCACCATATGTTATTCAGTACTGAGTTAAATGCTTCTATCTTAGCATATGTAGTTATACAATAATTACAAATGCATATTTTATTTAAAAAAAATGTACAGAACACAGATGTGATTGCCAGTTTGTAGCTACAGGAGTAGAGCTAGGCTTGTAGCTACAGGAGTAGAGCTAGGCTTGTAGCTACAGGAGTAGAGCTAGGCTTGTAGCTACAGGAGTAGAGCTAGGCTTGTAGCTACAGGAGTAGAGCTAGGCTTGTAGCTACAGGAGTAGAGCTAGGCTTGTAGCTACAGGAGTAGAGCTAGGCTTGTAGCTACAGGAGTAGAGCTAGGCTTGTAGCTACAGGAGTAGAGCTAGGCTTGTAGCAACAGGAGTAGAGCTAGGCTTGTAGCTACAGGAGTAGAGCTAGGCTTGTAGCTACAGGAGTAGAACTAGGCTTGTAGCTACAGGAGTAGAGCTAGGCTTGTAGCTACAGGAGTAGAGCTAGGCTTGTAGCTACAGGAGTAGAGCTAGGCTTGTAGCTACAGGAGTAGAGCTAGGCTTGTAGCTACAGGAGTAGAACTAGGCTTGTAGCTACAGGCGACGGAAAAGAATAACAGAGCGGCTAAAAGAGGTCAATATATCTGAAATGCGTAGGGAGACACTGGTCAGAGAAATAGCAAGCATCGAACTTAAGCTAAAAGAATCCTTTAGGAGTCAGGAATCGCGGGAAGAACTAAAAGCCATAAATGAAATCGAAAGAAACCCAAAGTATTTCTTCTCCTATGCCAAATCAAAATCGAGAACAACGTCCAGTATTGGGCCCCTACTTAAACAAGATGGGTCCTACACAGATGACAGCAAGGAAATGAGTGAGCTACTCAAGTCCCAATATGACTCAGTTTTTAGCAAGCCGCTAACCAGACTGAGAGTCGAAGATCAAAATGAATTTTTTATGAGAGAGCCACAAAATTTGATTAACACAAGCCTATCCGATGTTATCCTGACGCCAAATGACTTCGAACAGGCGATAAATGACATGCCCATGCACTCTGCCCAGGGCCAGACTCATGGAACTCTGTGTTCATCAAGAACTGCAAGAAGCCCCTATCACGAGCCTTTTCCATCCTATGGAGAGGGAGCATGGACACGGGGGTCGTCCCACAGTTACTAAAAAAACAGACATAGCCACTCCACAAAAGGGGGCAGTAAGCACAGCAAAGAACTACGACAATAGCACTACATCCCATATCAAAAAAATCTTTGAAAGGGTC